TTCATATTTCGACGAAAACCTGTGTTTCGGTAGGAAATATTACACAGACGAGCGTGAGTGAAGCCTATTCACGGTCGATCAAATGTCATCGTGTGTAGAGTGAAGTCAATGATTGCATGTATTCACTCACGTAGTCAGCTATAAAAGACACAGTTGGACTGATGCAAATAAACTGCTGCATTCGCCATTGTCAGTGTTTTCTGTTAGCAGGCTTGATGCCGCTAAGTTAACGAGGACAGTACAGATCCGTCGAGCAATGTGAGCGTCTTGTAGTGGTGCGAAAGCGTAAGCGGTGTGGAATGGATACTTCAGACGGGTGTAGCGCGGATCCAGTTGTGCTTGCCCAGTTATTTTGCTCAACGTCGCTTATCGACGATGCAGTCTCATTAAGCACCAACGTCGCAGTCAACTTCTGCCATGTCATATCTAATTGATGCGGAGCTGATGAAAGCTGTTTTCTGCCAGCAGGGAAATTGTCCGCCTCAACAACAACTTACTTTGCTTGCTGTCAGTACTCACGTTATCCCATTCGAATGCGGTGAGCTGATTGAATCTGCTTCTCACAGCCTGCAGCCGTATGTTACACCAATGGCGACAACTTGGCCATTTGTAAGCATGACTACCTCATCATATGGCAACCCAGCAAACGCTCAGCCTGCGCCTCTCAGCAACTATGACAACATGCCCACATTAATGAATTGCGATGTTAATGCAGCTGAGGGACCTCTGGCAAACCAAATGGTGACGGTCCAGTAGTTTCCACAGAATGTGTACAGACAGGCTGAATACGTGGTAACCTGGTGAGGAAGTTCAACAGCTGAAGTACTGCGTGCTTTGCAAACCAATTGAGCAGTCACGTATTCGGTTTCAGTAGCCGGGGATACGTTGACCACATAGTTGGATTGCTGTCCAGAGATCGGGTATTGCGATCTCGGATCTACGCTGTAAGTCGGGTTTCCATTGTTGTTTTGGTAATACCCGTTATGGACGGCGTATGTAGTTTGACAGATCGCTGGCTGGTGTGAGGCAACGTGATTTTCGTATCCATTTGTCATGGTGCATGCTGTACTGCTGTTGATCTTCCGTAATGAGTTGAGAAGTACTCAACTGACTGTTTGCATTCTGCGTAAACTGCGGCCTCAGAAACAGCAAAATTGTCATCTAATGAATTGGTTGGGCTTACGAATGGTCGTTAATTGCCGTTCTTCCTGTTTTGCTATGCATTCTGGCGATGCAAGTTTAAAATAGTCCGACCGGTCGTTTTTCTGTCTGACTTCTAAAAAGCCCAACACGACTCCCATATTAGCACAGAACGCAGAAATTCGCAGGACACAAGAACTTAATCTTTATTCTACGCGGTGAACTTGTGGACATTGCAATGCACACAGAATTCATGTCCACTATGTAAATCGAGAAGGCAAAATTTAAATAAGCATGAAGTGTTCCTTCGCAAGCCACAAGTAAGAAAGTCAGCGGCAGTGTCAACAGCTGTCATCTCGAATTCAATCCAGTCACCCCATACCTGCTTCCGTGGTGCTGAACAAACAGACGCAAGTCATCTCCTACGAAGATACCCACAACACGTAGATGGAACAAAGTAGGGGTAAGTGCCATCGGCGTCCGCATGTTTCTGTGAACATTCTGTAAACTTATAACCTTATTTGCACCTGGGGATTTGCAGTTCAGTTCTGTGGTTCCGCAGCACGATCGCATTGACATATTCTCGATTTGATTAAAAATTAGTTTCTTTATGACTACCTATGTGAAAGCAGCTGTTTCGTTAAAGCTGCAAACGGTGAATTTATTGTTGGTGAGACAGTCGATTATCAGTGGCAGTTATACTTGCTTATGCAGTAGCACAGACGGACACTGCTCAGTCGAACTGTAATCACACGCCGTCACTGCAGGGTGTCCAGGCATGGACACGAGACGTGGTGACCTCACGTCACCTCGGTTGAGGAACGAATCAAACTAACTAATAAATTCTAGTGCCTTAATTGCGTTCCTGTTACAATTAATTCTGCAGGTTCTACAACAGAATCCCTGCTGGTTAACCGGATGGGGATGGTTCGGCAATTTACGCCGAACGAGTTTAATCAGCTGAGCACACACCCGCCAGTTGCGGAGGCCTCACGGCGGTACAGTGTGCCCATGACAAATGGATAGGAAGCTCACGTTGTCTCACACCAGCCAGCAATCTGCCAAACTACATACGCCGTCCAAAACGGGTATTCCCAAAACGACAATGGAGCCCCGACCTATACCGTTGATCCGAGATCGCAATACCCGATCTCTGGACAGCAATCCAACTACGTGGTCAACGTATCCCCGGCTACTGAAACCGAATACGTGACTGCTCAATTGGTTTGCAGCACACAAAGTCAGCAGGAATCCGTAGTGACGCAAGTTGGCTTATCAGATTACTCCAGTAGCCCCGTGGGCTTCAATCGAAACGGAACGCCCACTCCATCAGCATCCATTGCCACGTTGGATTCAACGAGGCGAGGACGCCGTCAGAGTAAGTACATTGGTTAAAATTGTTAAGGCAGAATTTCCGCACATCAAGCCTGTCCGTTTTGGGTTAATATCGGTAAATCATTGAGTAACTGGTGCACAATTCGACTGATTGGCAGGTTCAGTTAAAGTAAAATACAACAGAGATTTGGAAGCGGACAACTTTGATTAAATGGTGGCAAGGTGGTACCTTAAATACTTGCTAATCTAACTTAGGTTCTTTAGTGATAATTGTGCAAGAATACAGGTAAACTTGTCAAATTCCGGCACCTTTGACCACTAAGTGATTCGAAATAAACGCAACCACTCGCCTGTAACTGCCCTTCTTAAGGGGAAATTTGTTAGAGTCGATAAAGCTGCAGGCTATTTTACTACCTTTTGGTTTGTTTTCAGGTGAAATGCCGAGAGGCGCTAGCAATGGTTTGGGTGCGCGCAAGAAACCCCGTAAATCACGGACAATCTACACTCGTGAGCAAACGGACAGGCTGATTGAGGTGTTCGCCAGAACGCAGTACCTAAACCTCACAGAAAGGGCTAAGCTGGCGCCTGAGCTTGGGCTAAAACAAACTCAGGTTCGTCTGTGGTTATGTTGCTAGTGGCTCTGCTCTAATATGGCATCTTCCTCTTGTGATCACGCTGACGCTTCGATTTCCAGCTTGAGGTTACGTACCCACGTGCCAATCGGATGCAGGTTGGGGCATGACATGTGTTTGAACCTACCAGAATGTCATCAACTAGGCAGTTTTACGTTTTTTCCCCTATTTCACTTTTATGCGGTGTAAATGTGAGTGCGTGTGTGTGTGGTCTTAGTGTGAACACAAATCACGGCATTTTGCATGATCGCCGTTGGCATGCAAGGGAGTCGAACGCAGTTCCATGTCTTCGCTGTTATCGGATCCTGAGTCCGCGGTTACCTCATTACAACTCAGTGTTGTCTTTGTTTTCCAGCTTTGGGCATCAGTCGTGAAGCCGACGTCTCAGTCGTCCAAAGTGAGTGCCAAATTCGAGCAAAGGATCATCATCTGGACAGGACAAGGACCCACAGTACAGATTTTAATCAATCAAGATCCTACGTGATCTGGAACAACGTCAGTGGTTTGTGTCCATGCTCTATGACAGCTGCAAAATGTAGTTACACTACCACTACTACTTCTGCGGCTGCTGCTGCTGCTTCAAGCGAAAATTCTCGCGCAAAGCTGACGTTTGCCTGGTTCATTCAGCCACATTACACACCCCGTTCGCCATCCAGGTTATTCCTGGGGCACTTGGTTAATCCGACGATACTTCGGTCAGAAGATCTGCCATATCCTCTGTACCATCTAGAAAGTAAACCTGGATACACCCGTGTTTGTGTGAGCTCAAATTCCGCAGAGAGCTTGGACCACTCCCTGAGGTCCATGTACTGAATTTTGGCAATCACGTCAAGCAGTCTGTGGTGCTGCTCGCGTCTTAATTTGGTCCGTGGTTTTCGAATTCTCATGCGTACACCCGAACCACTGCTTGACCCACTCGCCATGGGTGTTGCATGCGCCACTCCTCTGTGAGAAGGGCCTTCACCCAGGTCGCGACTATCGGAGGTTGCAAAAAAGGTACTGATGGTGTAAAGATATTTGCCTTTGTGGCTGGCAATATCCTTGATGGAGGAAACCAGACGCCTGACGATCGATCTCGTGTGGAGAATAAGAGCCCCAATTTGACATTTTGAATCACCATCAAGACTTGCTGCTTTGCACAATGAATGCGGAGAGAATGATCACAGCCATCTTCTAGCAGCAATTTATCTACTTTGCGTGTGCGTGCGTATGCCGTGCATTCCACTCCACCAACGACACGCCGTCGTCAATCGGTATGGTGAACTAGCGGCGGTTGCAAGCGCTTCTTAGCTCTTTGTCAACAAGATCTGCTGAAAGCACAACAACCGCCGTCGCCGAGACATCCTCAATACACAGACAGTAACTCGACATCGCTGGCAAGTGCCATCGAACCAGGTTCATGGTACACAGAAGCAACACGGAGAAGAGATGTCATGGAGATAAAATGAATATATTTTTGCCAGCTATATGATTATGAAAACACTTTGTAAAAGTCCCTTATTACAGTCCAAATGATAACTGCAGAAAAGTATCCGTGTCATTTTTCCTTGTATTTAATTGTCTACGGAATGTATATCGGAATGGGTGGTTTCATTGGCGCTAAGGTCTATCCATGCGTCCCATCACGGTTCTACATGATGGTAGTGCGGACATTTACAGCATTTAACTCTGCCTCATGGCACACTAGTGAATTTGGTTAAATTGAGTACGGTTAGTGGTTCAGGAAACTAAGCCTTATGTGGGAAATGTGGTTAGAACATCGCGATTATCTCGTGCGATCGATAGTGGCCGCTTTATTTAAAATCGTATTATGCTCTATGATGATGCGTATCTTGTCTTTCATCCAATCAGCAGCTCGTACGCTTTGTTGAGCAGTCGCATGCCAGCCAACGTCTTGGGAGTGATTATTATAGCATAAGACTTGGCTGATCATCATAGGTTTAGGCTAATGGTGTTTTGTGGGACTTTGTGGACACACTCAGGAGAATCAAAGCTGCTCTTGACTCTCGGATGTCGAATTCAAAATATGTGGAGCTATGACTGAATTGCCTTTCGAATGCTTGCTCTTGATGCCCACGAGGTGGAAGCAGGACCACGTGGTGGGAGTGTTAAGGTGATGATAACAGCAGGAGATTTGGCTGATCGTTATAATTTTGAGCTAATGGTTTTCTTCACTGCCAACTAATTTGAAGACTGGTTAGTTGACTCTTATAAGACTATCTCAATAGGAATTATGTGATAAGAATTGAATCAAGTAAAATGCGGTTGTGCTGGTGTTAACGTTGAACCACAAATGTCATTGACATTAAGGTCGCAGCTGATGACGAATAACGCGTCATCAGGTTTTGCTGCTTTGCACTTTTTGTTAGCTTGTATGGACTGCAAAATGTTAAACGGGCGGCTAACAACGATTTCGACCAGTCGCAGACGCGCATTTTTAATCAAGCAGAGATTTCATCCAATGCCTGAAGACAGTATCGAGGCAAGCTTGGTGAAATTGGGACATCGTTTTTGTCAATGCACCAAGGTGTAGATCATGTCATTATAACTTGGGGACGAGAGCCTTGGTTCACCTCCTCAAGACAAGTCGGATGTACTTCATCTAAACTAAGTGCCTGCTTAAAACCAATAGGAAACTAGCTGTAATCCCTTAAGCTGGCGAAAGGATTTAAGTGGCCATGCGGAAATGTGCGTCCTGTGCATCGTCTTCTGTGGCCGCATACTACTTGTTTAGACATTTCTATGCCAAAGATGAGAAAATCATTTTGGTTTTCCGTGGCCAGACTGGCAAATGCGTGTTACAAAGAGCAGCCACCTTGACGCCTAAACTTCTTCAATATTGTTCAAATTGATTGAATACACTGAAGATCCGTCTGTTCGGACGTTGTGTTGTTAGTCTCAACCCTTCCGGAAAGTGCTCTAACTCGGCTGAAGGGCCTGTCGATGTGGAACAAATTGCATGATTGCAGATTTCACACCTTTGCCGATGACAGGCAGCAGCCAGAGTTGCCGCATTTGGAAAGGGAGGAAGACAGAGATTTGAAGAGACATGAATTAAAACTGATTACGATGCGGGGGTGCTGATTTAGCCCGTTAAGCACAGGTGACCTTGAACCCAAGGTCACGGATACCAGTGATTAGAACAGTTTCGTGATTGACTACTGTGCACATTTAAGCAGCTATTCATTACCACAACAAGTTAAACGGGCCGACAGTGACGTGTGTGATTTGACGGGAGCAGAAATATTTGAATCAAGCGCACAATTCCTTTTTTCTTTCAGCGTATAATCGTGACAACCTTGAAATGAGCAATTTGTTTTGGCCAATGGGGTTGCAGGGAAATATTTTTTGACTGGTTTTACGAAGTCGATCATCCACTTACGTTTCACACAACACCATGTTAAGAGGTCACCATTTGAGCCAAACCGACACATTGCTTTTTACGCGAGTAGTTA